TGATCGGACGGTACCTGTCCTGTTTATTCATGCAGCTGGTCAGGCTGATCGGACGGTAACTGTCCTGTTTATTCGTGCAGCTGGTCAGGCTGATCGGACGGTAACTGTCCTGTTTATTCGTGCAGCTGGTCAGGCTGATCGGGAATAAACAGGACAGTTACCGTTGCAGCTGGTCAAGAAAGTAAAGCATTTATTTTTTTAAATCAAAAGATAAGGACCTTTTAGAATTTTTATAGTACTGGGGTTGTCGTTGAACACCCTCCCCTGCCCCCTGGGTACGACCCTGGTAGTAATGATGATGAGTTCGATTCCTGAGCTGCGTACACGTAAGCCTTCTTCCACAATCGTAACTGTCTTCAATTCGTTCTAAAGAAAACTAAAGATGGCAGTTTAGAGAGACCATAATACAAACAACCATAATTGCTGACATAATTCTAAAAAAATAGTTTGTGTTTAAAAAAAAACAAGTTCTTCTGCAGCCCTTCCTACATACAGGTTTCCAGATCAGTAGAGTATATGACACATTTTGATAAGTTACTATAGTAACAGTATAGTGTATCAGGTGGATTTAGATATTCTGAAGCCATTATACGTTATACTTGCAGTTGTTTCGTTACTAAACGTACAGATGTCGCTATTATCAAGTGTTTCCTATATTAATGTTTATAAAAACGTTTATACAAAATATGTCTGTTGTGTTTATTTATGCTATGCCCACCAGATGTATATAAACCCGATTTTTAGTGTTACAAGCCTTATCACTGAGCCACTGGGAGGGCACACTACAAGAGATAACGAATAATAAAATAATATTTATTGGTTTACCTAAAATAATTTTAGTCCACAAATAAGAATATATTTGTAACATATAATGTAGTTGATGACGGCCACATGACTGTTCAACAGAGATTGAAAATTATTGGATAACCTCACTTGATGATTTAATTCAAGATAAAATTGTATAGAGATGTGAGCACATATAGCTGAAAACCTCCCTGCGCTTAACGACAAAAAAATTTACTTGTAGTTTACAGAGATGACTGTCAAGAAACTTTGAGAGACAGTAATGTTTATTTAGGAGACTTTAAGCTAATAATCAGTTATAGAGGGACGTTGATAATGGTTGTATTTAATATCCAAAAAACAACTTATATAGCTAAGAAATAATGTACGTATTTAAAATAATTTGTTAGAAAATTTTTAGCACTGGGGAAGAAAACAGGTAGAATTTTATAACCTGATATCATTTGGAGTAACAAGAAAAAGTATTTAGATAAAATTAAAAATATATCATCCAGTTAAGCATTTTGGTTTTCATAACATCTTATTTGTTGGGAATACCAATGTTCTATTTACACTATGTTTCGTTTCATGAAGTAAAAAACCACAAAGAATAAAAATCATACGAATGCAGATAAAAAAACTACTAACCACAAACACGAACAGTTGTTGTTAAGTTCACTGTAACAATTATCTTTATAATAGTGTATGATTATTATAATTGTCGATACTCTCTAAGTAACTCATTTCTAACACATTACAATTTGTAAAATATAAGGAATGACAGTATTATGGAAATGGCTAAGAATTCATTACTATACTTATTCAAAAGTATTAAAACATAAGCTATAATATTTATTTCAAATATGATTTTAAATTTACCCTGGAAAACAGCTTTCCCTGCAACACAAATCTGCTCAGTCTGCGATGAAATAATATTGCAAATGTTACAAACAATTTTTAAAGTTCAATATTAGTTTTATTTCCTACCTTACTTTTTAAAACCATAGAGTAATTTGAAAAGATAAACATATACACTAGAAAATTTGCTGTTATTACTTGAAATGTGTTAGAGCGCCCTCGTCTGGCAATATTATACAATACATATCTCAGAAAGCGAGATAATCGAATAATAAATGATAGTTAATTCTTAATATTTACTTTATATTTCTTTAGAGGAATAAACGTAAAGGTTTAAAAATTCAAGAGCAAGCAGAGCAGACTGTAATCTCGATTATGGTCGTGAAGTAAAGGTGTATATTTGTATGAGGAAAAGTTTTTGTATTGTTATTTTATGTTCAAGTCGAGCTAGACGAATTGACAGGTATGGAAAGTAGCCTCGCTCTCTGAGAGATAACCGACGGCGTGATAATAACCCTTTTGAGATGAATTACTGTGTCATTTCCATGTCGTATTTCGCCTCGAATTTAGTTATGGGAACGTGCTGAAAAGAACAAACGTTGTAAGTGTTAATTTTAGAACCAAGATATTGTTTGGTTTCAGTTTTCATTTCTTCTATGTTTTCATGATTATAAGAAGTAAAATTAATTTTCTAAAAACAATTCGATCTAAGATGCTGGGATGCTTTTTTGGGGGTGGGGGTGGGGGGTAAAGCATTTACAGTATTGCGTGTGCCTTAGTTTTCTTTCTTAAATTAGAATCCGGGTTTCAATACCCGTGGTGGGCAGGGCACACATAGCCCATTGTGTAGCTTTGTGCTTAATTACAAACAATCTTTCTTAAAATTAAATAATACGTCTACATTAATTAACTTTGTTTATTTTGTTGTTAAGCGCAAGCTATACAATGGATTATCTGTTCTGTGCCTACAACAAGTATCGGAACCTGGTTTTTAGCGTTATAAGCCTTCAAACCTGTCGCTGGGAGGCATATTAATTAACATGAGACAAAGATGTAGCACAATTTTTAAATCTTATTTTGACATAAATCACAACCAGTCTTAGCTCAGATAAAAAAAAATTAAAACAAGAAAGAATCCTCAATAGCCACGACACTTCTTATAAGCACGATTAAAGTAAATTAGACTATGATACTTTTTTTTCCGTTGTTACGACAGCGGAAGTCACGTGACTCTAGTAACACGTCATGATATTTTAGAAGGATCATGTCTGTTCGTGGCAACTCTGGTCTTTTCTACGCGCCCTCTATTCTTGTATATAAGTGCGCCAGATAAAGCGAAATTAATTAATCGGAAATAGAACTACAGACAAACAGAGACGGACAATTGAGTCAAGCGCGGTAGTGACCGTAAGTAAAGTGCGTGAATCGTGTGAATTATAGCGTGTGTTTAAGTTAAAGTGACTGTGGAAATTAAGTGTTTTGCAAAGTTGTATTGAGAAAGAATAAACTAGTTTTATTTAAGAAAGGACTTGTATCGCTGAAGTTTTTCGGAAAGACTTTCTACGGAAAATTAACTAACAAACGAACACAGAGGCGTAACACCTTTTTATTAGCTATATTTTTGTGAGCCAGCAATACCAAGCGTGGGGCGCGCATATACCCGATTCGATTTTTGATCCGGCATGTCCAGGTGGTTAGGGCGTTTAACTCGCAATCTTAGGATCGCGGGTTCGAATCCCCGTCTCACCAAAAATGCTCGCCTTTTCAGCCGTGAGGGCGTTATAATGTGACAGTCAATCCCACTATTCGTTGGTAAAAGAGAAGCCCAAGAGTTGGCGGTGGGTGGTGATGATTAGCTGCCTTCCCACTAGTCTTTCACTGCTACATTTGTGACAGCTAACGCGGATAACCCTCGTGTAGCTTTGTACGAAATTCAAAACAAACAAACAAACAGTAACCGTTCTAGCTTTATTTCTAGCTATATTTTCATTGCTTTAACTTAGATGGCGCATGAGGTGAAGATCTAGTAACTCAAAGAAGTATCTAGATGAGTACATTAGTTATAAATACCAGTAAGCAGTGAGTTAATGTCAAAGTATTAATTTTAGTAGTGAATGAGAATTTAGAGAAGTTCTTAAATCAGTATTAATGATTGTATACATTCAGTTACTCGATCGACTAATAAAATTGTACAACAAAGTTTATTTGGACGTTAGTCGTAATACCATTAGTGAGTAAATTTCTGTATAAAGTGAAACATTATTTGTGAACTTAGGCCTACAACTGTATACAAGTGATTGCAGCTCTTAGCAAACACTAAATAAATTAAGTAAGTTGTTATAGTTACGTGGACTGGATGTCATATTATTTTCACCAAATAATCTAAAAGAACCCGCCAAACGGCAGAATACGTCCAACAATATGTATGAGGGCAGACAAACATTTACTACTAGAAACTGAGAAATAACCTCAACTGTAGGATACAATATATCAAGGATATAAGAACGCTTGAAAGAAGCGTGAAAGAATGGGGGGGGGCATGGAGCTATGGTGGATGTGTCAGGTAAACAATTTATTAACTTATTGAAAACCTAATATTAGCATTTGTTACGACAGCGGAAGTCACGTGACGCTGGTAACACGTAATGAGTTCTATAAAGATCGTGGAACATCAAGAATAATCCACGAATATCTTGATAGTTTAGTAAAGTTATAATTTTTTCACATAATCTACAGATATAAACTTCCAAACACATAAAAATGAAGTTTTAGTTTTACAACAATAGATGGCTCTCTTGTCTCTCCTATGCCTACCCAACAGCAGGCCATGAAGTATGTTCTTAGTTGGGACATGAGAATTTCTGGGATCTGCCCGGGCCCACCAAAAGTCTCTACTGGAAACCATCCAAATGAAAACTGGTTAATGTAAATGTACACTCAGGAAACTACATTAACTAAAAAACATTCACCAACAAGTACAAGTAATCTATGGCAATATGATAAGGTTTGTTTTGTTTTTAATTATGCAGAAAGCTATACAAGGGCTATCTGTGCTCTGTCCACCACGGGTGTCGAAACCAGGTTTCTAGCGTAGTAAGTCCGCAGACATACCGCTGTGCCACTGGGGGCATGATAAGGTAATCATCCAACATGCTTTGCGTTGTAGAAATTTCAGTTAGAGTTCCAAGCTTTAAGTTTGACTTACGATTGCATAGAGATTTTGAGTGAAATTTTATGAGATTAATTGTTTTATTTCCATAGAAAGTTTAAGTGAATGACATTATTATAAACAATAATAGATTTGATGAACAATATAACTATATTTGGCTTTGAGTTTGAAATAGGCAACTTCATAACTGCTTTTTTTACCCTAATCAACATAAAATATTATCTATGTTACTGTTATTTCAGTTGATATTTTGGTTTCAGTCAATTTCATCACAAAACTGAAGCTAATTATATGAAAAATAACCTAGAGCAAAATAAATAATTAACCTTGATTTCTTAATTAAATTCACATTGTACTGTGATCGTTATCAGATTTTGATTAATTTGTTTTCAAGCGTAAATATTTTTAAATAAAAAAGTTAATATTTAAAAAGAAAAATAATATTTTTATCAAATATATTTTTACAAATTTTGTATATTGTGTACATAAAGTTGTAGTTATAAATATTAAAGTTTTAACAATTTTGATGTTTTAAGGTTTATTTAAGATTGTTTTTCCACAATGCTTATTGTACTTTTTTTTTACATCATTGGTAATACTTCAAAATATTGATCACACAGTAAAATTAATTCCTAACTGTAACTGTAAAATTTTCCATTTATTATTTTTATAAGTGACCAATAAAATCAATGTTAGACTAATTAAAGGCCTTCATTTGTGTTAGTGTTAACGTATCTTATTTATCCTACATCAGAAAATAAACTCAATTCCCGAGTGATTTCGGAAAGTGGACTCTCCCTCGCCAAGGGTTTAAACGTTGCGGGTAGTTTCGTTTCAAAGTAAGGCAAAATATATACATATTAAATGCAGAAGTTACTTTACATTCAAAAAATGGCGTTAACAGTCATAATTTATCAATTTGTTTGTCCAGAGAACAAAGTAAACATTTTATAAAGAAGTTTTGTTTGTTGTAAAAATATTTATTTTATAAGACACGTTGTTGCGTGCTGTAATATTTTATCACTAGGTGTCTAGGATGCAGTTTTATGTAGGCTTAGCGTTATTATCATGTGAACTAAAATTTCTCTACATTATTTCAAATAAAATTGAAGAATTCCAGTGAAATATGTAATTCTTTACATAAACGTTAAAAATAAAATGCGAGTTCAGCCTCTAAATGAATTTTGAGTAAATTGTTTCGTCGTTCTAACGATGTAATTTTCACGTAAATCGAAACTAACTAGACGTTTTCCAAGAGCGAGCTATTGAAATTGTTCAGTGACGTGATGAAAATTAACGACGTCTATTAGAAGACATTAAATCGCGTCAAGTGGCAGCATGCACGACGAAACAGTAAAGAATCGATATATCGTTTGGTGTTGCTAAGGTCGTTATTATACGGGTGCGCGGTAACTGAAAGCTGCGCAATTTTAGTAATTACTCATGATACAGATATCATAAACTGGATTACCATGACGGTTAATTCTATATTCATACTTAAGAATGCCCCAGATGGGGACAGATTGCTAAAATTTTGAAGGTGGTACTTCTCCACCTCTTCTGCTGTTAATTTCTCTTCTTTAAAGCTATTTCCATACCGCTATGAAACATTTCTCTCCTTACTTGACTTACTTACCACTTCCTTTCAAAGATTCTCATCCCTACATGTGAAATATATGTGTGTTCACTGCACCGTTCACAGCTGTTATATGTGGTTATGGACATAGCAAGGGGGGTAGAATTTCTTGGTATTTGAGTCAAAAGAGGTGTTAGTTATAGCCTATCCATTTCTACTTCAAGCCTAATCTGATGTATGCTGAATTTCACAGTAGAATTCACACATGGTGAAAGTTTCTAGTATATGCTTGAGTAAGTCAGGTTATGGTCCAGAATTTCTCCTTTCTCCCTCCTCTCTCTCTTTTTCTGCTGTTGGTCTTTTTTTTTCTTGTTGACTATTGTTGCTTTCATCAATCTCTCGACTTCTACTGCTGTTGACCTGACTCACAACATGTATCTCGCTTCGTTATCGCAAGAGTAATGCGTTTCTTCCTCATGTTCAGAATTAGTCGCGATGCCCGAGTGGTTACTTGGCAACCACAACTCCAAAATTTTATTTGTTTGTTTTTTACACATGCATTTCTGATGTCTTTGCACCTCTCACCTCTTCGCTGGTTGAACATCTGTGAAATTAAATGAAGACGGGTATCCTTATGTATA